GCCGGCTGTCGATCCCCTCGCCACCGCCTCGTAAATGGTCCCGTTCACCTCTCTTGCGGGCATACCAGCGCCCTCGTAGGGAGAAGGCGTCACGGCCCCTCGCCCCGCTGTGGTGTGGGCAGCCTGCTCGCCCTCGGTGCCCATTGCTGCTGACACAGCAGTGCTGAAGAGGGGGGGGTATAGGAAGCCTGGAAAATATTTTGGGGCGAGCGCCGGTAAGGTTTGTGAGGAAGGGGTGCTGGCGGCAGGAGCTTGAAGCCAGGAGGGCCGTGTTGGGTATCGTGTGGTGTCACACGCTGGAGTGCAGCTGAGTGGGGTTAGCTGGCTGTGGGGGGCACTGATGAACACGGTCACCCCGGCAGCGGGACCGGTCAGACTTTATTTTTTGAAGCTGAGGCGATGACAGTGTTTAGTGCACTGTGACCTGGGCCATAGCTTAGTCCTTCCTAGTCGTGTTTGGTGTCCTTTCCGTTTAGCCCAGGGAGTACAGGGTCCAGGGAGATACGGTGCATCTGTGTGTGTGTGTGTTTAATCCCTTCTTGCTGAAGATTTCAAGGGATGGAGCAATAATCGTGTAGGAGTAATCCTAAAGAAACTGAAAAGAAAATCCCTACTATAAATTCTCTTTCAATTTGTGCTTAAAATTTGATACTTCAGGCACTAAACACCTCTACCAGCCTACAGGGTACAGTTCTCAGATGACAGGGTTTACACTGCTGCCATGCTAGTGTTGCACTGGTATCGTTACTCCTCTCTCAGATGTTGATCTGTTTGTCTTCCCGAAGCCGGTTCTGTGAACTCCTACAAGGGATCTTTCATATGCTACGAGCTTTGCTTCCTCATCAGCCCAATAATTCTGTGTCTTGTCCTTTACCAGGTAGCTAAATTTATTTTTGAAGACTTAAGTGGCATTTCATATTGGTCATCTACAGAGAGGACAAAGGACACTTTGTAGAAGAAAATCTGGAAGACGGTAAAAGAGATATGTATATCCAAAATACTGTATTTTGGCCTTAGTAATTCTCCCTCTAAGTTCGGCAAAGTAGTGCTTCATGGTACGAGATTCTACTTAAAAAAAAAATAAATGCAGAGATGTGGGTAATACACAATGAAAACAACCACTGAAGAGCACGGTCAGCCTCCAAACCAAAACTGTAGTTGTGAAAGTTTTGTCTATGGGAATCAGACTCGATCTTCTGTGTTACATGGATGGAAATAAGTCTTTGCAAGATCAGCACCTTAAGTGGGTCCTACAGGAGGTAACAGCAGAGTAGGAAAGTCAGATTTAAAAAAGGGAAAAGATGTTGCCCAGTTTCACACTTTTAACAGTTATGACAGACTTCTCGGATAAGGGAGATAATTTAAGTCTTAATTTTGATAGGCTTGATTATACCTATAAAATATATAGGGGAGGTTAAATTAAATGCAAGCTTTAATTTCATGGGTTAGGGAACTGGGCAGTGAAATAATTCACTGAGAAAATAAAACATTAGAGCGTTCTTCAGGAATTTACTTGGGGAATGTAGTATGCTTCAGCCGTTGGAAGGAACTTTCCATTGAATTTTAAAAACCCTTGCAAGAATTGCACAGTTTGAAAAAGAGACTATTTTAATTTTGTATGGCCTTGTTAATATACACCTTTATTATTATAGTAGCATGGCCAGTTCTAATGTCATTTCTTCACAGTTTATTCCAACATTTTGACAAAGAGTGCAAAGATCTTTCTTGGAAGATGCATCATGAAATACAAAAAATGAGGGAAATTGCTCTTGTTTACCTTGACAGAAGTGGTGGCCTTCAGAAATTCGTGCACGACTGCAAAAAATACAATGGTATTACTCACTCAATAGATAGTCTGTTAAATTGGTATGTAATGTTACACAAATCTGTTACTTTTATTTAAGATACTTTTTGCTTCTACAGACTCAAAACAAAGTTACGCTGTTTATCGTTTCATTATTTCAATAAATCCTTCTGATATTGCTGAATTAGATGCAACTCTTGGGAACTACATTCTTCATAATCCCATACAGGCTGCACAGATTTTTCAGTCAGTAAGTATATATTTATAGACAAGAGTAGACAAAAGTACATCTTCTATATTTTAACTAGATTTTTCCTTTCTAAAATGAAGTTATTTTTCAATCACAGGTATGTTTCGTAGCTGTTAAGACATTATCATTAATTGAACAACTGCAGACAGAGGCCCAGGTGAGTCTGCACTGTTTTCCTCCATTTAGATCTTAAATCTTTTAAGTATGGTGAAGTATTAACAAATATTATTTTTGTATTAACTTTTCAGTTTTCATTTTCCCTTTGGTTGTAGTATTATTTGTAATTAAAAATAGCTGGAAGTCTCACCCAACCATATTGCAGAATTTTGATATAACTAATACGAAACCTAATTACTCTTACACTTCATATGTTTCTGAATTTTTTTTCCAATAGCTATCTATCACATTGTGTGTTTGTCCATGTAAGTAAAGCAGTTTTAAATAAATAAAAAAAAAATGTATGGTATTAATGCAATCGTGTCTCTTGTTAGATTAGTGTACTGCTGAAACCAACACATTTGCCACCTTTACCAAGTTATGTTCTGAGTCTTTCTGCGTTTCCCTTTAATCACACATCTCAAAGATTTTATATGTCTGAAGGAATAGCGATTGCAATGGGAACGGTAACAAAATATACACAAGGAGCAAGATTTCTTTGTACTGAGGAAACCTGTCCATTTTCTGAAGGTATTAAGACAAAAAAAAGGGTACTATTTCAAAAGCTTTTTAATAATTTTGATAACTTACCAGAGATTAAAAACCTAGCATGAAAAAGGCATTTTCCTATGCAGTCTTATTATGCAGACATTTTTGTAATGAGCACAGCATGATTTTTATTAATTGAACGCAGTGCACCTTGCCAGTGGTTGCTCAGCGTTATTAAATGTTTTGGGAGCATAGCTATGCCAGCAATCCATTTTCCTAATGCTAAAGATAGTTTATATGAGAAAAGATCTGTCGCCAATATAATTTAATAAATTATCTGAAAGGGAAAAAAAAAGCTAAACTAGTAGAACGCTTTTTTTTAATTGGAAACGGTGTTTCTGTTTATATAAAAATACCGCAGAACGGTATGTTTAAGTGACTGGCAAAAGCTTCTAGCATTGAACAAGTTTGCTTTAATGAGTAGCTGACTTCTGTGGAACTACTTCTTTGAGTAATATTATGGAAGTGCTTGCATCGTTGCAGGATTAGGCCTTAAGTACTTTTAAGGCTGTTTTGTTTGCTTCTTCCTGTAACAGAGACCGTAAAATTGTAAAAGAGAGGCGAAATCCCAGTTAGGCGACTGCAGAATAAATCCTAATGATGTCTTTATGAGGGCACGTACCTCTAATAATGAATATCCATACCCCATGTCATTTCCACGCAAGGCAGAAGCGGCAGTCGCTCCCTGTGGCTCGGAAAGCCAGGCCAAGCTGTTCCGCTTGGGAACGTGCAATAGGCAATTCTGCCATCTTGTGGCCAGCCTATAATAAATGGTACAGATCATTTTAGTGGAAGCATAGTATATGAACGTATGCTCAGCTGAAGAAACACGTGATAAATTTGGAATTTCACTGTCCAGTATTTTAAGCACTTCTATACCTAATGGGAAATTTAAAATGAAAGCCATGTCCTCATTTTAAATGTTCGGTAATTTTTTTTTTTTTACCTTTTTTTTTTTTTTTTAGGCTTTAGGTACATAAGAGTGCATCTGCCTGGAGCTACAGAATCTGCCACAGTGAGGAATGATTTTGTGTGTAGTTTGTGTTCTTCGCCACTGCAGGAAGACATGAAATTTAGAGTACTTGGTGGTAAATTCTATGTAGTTTTATTTTTAGATCTGTTACTTTCCTACTTCTGTTACACAGTAAGTAAACAAAATGGTTAAGTGGAAAAAGCCCCCAAATACACCAGTCCTTTAAAAAAAAAGAAAAAAAAAAGCCGTACAGTTTTCAAGAGAACTAACCTTTTCTTTGCCTTTATTTTGAAAGATAAACAAATAGTTGAAATGATTGATGCAAAAGTTCTTAATGCTTTGAAAGGATATTCCAATGATAAATCACATTTTAGGATTCAGACATTCACAGTTTTCTTGAGAGGTAAGCTGAATTTTGGAGTTTTGTCAAAAATGTTTTAGAATTGAACTGTAATAATCTGTCATAATTTATATAAATAAACTTTTATAATTTATATTGCAGTTCTTTAATAAAATTGGGGGAAATAATACAAAAAATTAGCTAGGTGACTAAACAGTATACGCAGGTGACTGTTCGCACATGGCAAAACTGTTGTGTTCACTTTTATAGCTTCATTTAAGTAAAATCCCCTGGCCAGCTCTGCAGTAGCGCATACTAACTGTAGCTTTTTTTTTCCTCCTTTCTACTTCCTTTGGTCATACTGTTTTGTACTAACTTCATGCATTTTTTAACATCCTTCCTCAATCTAGCTGTTTTCCGCATTCTATCAGGATTTTTGGTTTCTACTACATCTACCTTCCACTGCAAACAGTAAATTATTTCTAATGTGAATATCCAACTAAAATCACAACTCACCAACATACATATTTACATTAACTCTCTTAAACCCCCCCCCGCCATTCCAAAAGTCTATGGAATTATATGGTTAATTTCTTGAAAACTAAGTAGCTCCAAGATGATGAGAAACACTTAAAAACTGACAATATGCATGTATTGTTATAGAACAGAAGCTATGGATGAGATACTGCGAGTTATGCATGCATTAAATTTCCACTAGCTTCAGTGATCAATGAGGTTAGAACAGGGTCTCGCAGCTGAGATTCATATTTGGTTGCACCTAACTCTCATTTCCAAAAAATAAATAGGGGGTTTTGGTTGTTTTTTTTTAAATGCACAGAAATACAAAGGTTCCCAAAGCTATTTGTGTGTCTTTTTGAAATCTGTTTAGCGTGGATCTCCTTTTTATTGTGGTTTTTTTCACTGACATTTTATAGAACAATAACTGATAATGGTGTCACCACAAGTTTCAGAGTAGGAACGCGTACTTGCGAACAACCATCCGTTTTTCTTTTCAATGCAGAACTAAATGCATCACCCATTTTCTTTATCAGGAATCTGCTTTTCCTCACCCAGTGTGCCTTCCTTACCTTTTGCATTCAACTGTTGTTTTCTGCAATTAAATCATAAAATCAAACCGTTCAGAATGTGTAGAAGTTTTCTGACCATGTCTTTAGAACTGTTTTTATGCCCTAACACATCTGCAGGTTCTTCTCCCCCCTGCCCCTTTTTTTTTTTTTCTTAATTTCTAGATGAACTGGCCAATAAAATGAAAATAGGAAACCACTACAAGATTATAGGAATTCCAGCTTGTGTACAAAATGGCTTACAAGCTACAGCATGTATAGAAGTCAATAGCGTACAGCTCTGTAAACCAAATGGTAAGAAAGTCCCATTAAAAATCGACTAAAAAAGTTGGAAAACCTTCTAGAACAAAATCTTGAGAATTGGTAGAGTTTTCTGTCATCTAGAGGTCCAGATTATGAAACCACTCTGGGACTTTCCTCTTACAGTCTGAAATGTACGCTTACTGTTATTTGAGTACATCTTCTTTTGCCCAGTTTCCATGCATTGGGAAACAACGTAATTATTTTAGTGTGGTTCTTCAACTTCTTTTTCCAACTTCTCCTACCCATTGGAAGGTACTTTGAAATCATACATTAAATGAACCTGATATTTCAGTTTGTTACTCTTTTCTTATTCCATCAGCTTTAGCAGATCATGTCTGCTACCTTTTTAGTAGTAAAATTAATCGTGTCAGATGTTTACATTCTGAATTTGTGCTCAATACATAATGTCCTGGTTTCGGCTAGGATAGAATGAATTTTCTTCCTAGTAGCTGGTACAGTGCTGTGTTTTGGATTTAGGATGAGAATAACATTGATAACACACAGATGTTTTAGTTGTTGCTAAGTAGTGCTTATACTAGTCACGGACTCCTCAGCTTCCCATGCTCTACCAACTGAGAGGCTGCAGGTGCACGAGAAGCTGGGAGGGGGCACAGCCAGGACAGCTGACCCAAACTGGCCAAAGGGACATTCCATACCATGTGACGTCATGCTCAGTACATTAACTGGGGAAAGCTGGCTGGGGGGGCCACTGCTCGGGGACTGGCTGGGCATCGGTCGGCGGGTGGTGAGCAATTGCATCGTGCATCACTTGCTTTGTTTATTATTATTATTTCTACTCTTCCAATTCTCTCCCCCATCCCACCAGGGAGGGGGGGAGGGAGCGAGCGGCTGTGTGGTGCTCAGTTGCCGGCTGAGGTTAAACCACGACACAAACATATTCATTCTTTCTAATTTTTGTATCAAGACTAGAATGGTGATTTGTTCTAATGTATCTGCATAGCTCTCTTTATGAAGTGTTTGTTAACCTGTATTTTGTTTTCATTAGGTCCTTCGTTTGTCAGTGACAATTTTAAGTACCTGCTCTCACTGACTTCAAGTTCCTGCTGGAGGTTTACTGCCATCCTTGCCAATATCTTTGCTTCTCAAGTTGTTCCACCAGGCACCTACAATACTCTTAAACTCGCAATATTGCTGAGTCTAGTACAGACATGTGAAAAAGAAAATGCAGATTATCTGGATCTGTTGATTGTGACAAGCGACACGCTAGTAATTGATAGGTAAAGATACTCCTTACTTTTCATGTAAATTAGAATTAAAAATACCCAATTTTTATCCCTGGGACATTTTTATTTATTTCAAGTGATAAATCTAGATCAGAACTTCACTAATAATAAAACCCGTTAACACTCTTGTAATGATCTCAGTAAGACTTAAGCACTGTTTAGCAGAGCTCAAACAAAACATTCTTCTAAAATGCAAACCGAAGACTGTCCCAGAAGCTGGTAGTGATAAAAGCAAAGGGCTCTACTCTTCAAATCTTGTGTCACTTCAAGCCTTTTCATCACCACTTCCCAGCTATCAGTAGTGTCGGTTAATAACCAGTGTGTAAATAGATACTTACATTTCTATCACTCTTTTTCATAAACACTATACTGGTAAGGTATCAAAAGTCATGTACATCTTTACACATAGGTCATAAATCTGGCTGCTGTTACCTTAAACAAAATGTTTTTCTGTATTTATGCATTTCATGTATTTACCCCTTCACACAACTATGAACTGTTAACACAATTTCACAAACACTGCAGAAAAGTATAATATGCTCACCGTTAAATTGACATTAATTTAAACAAAATTACTTTCTCCTTCCCCAACTCAAAACAGGGCTTCATTTTTATTTTTTTAAAAAATCTTTGAAAGTGGCATGAATTTTATTTTCATTTGAGAGTTCTTCAGCAAATTCATTAGTATTTTTTTGTTGTGGAAAAAAATACTTTCTTAACCATTTCAAAATTTAGCTGTAGAAATAAGTTCAAATTTGAAAAAAAATGTGGGCTGCAGGATTTCTTTCCCCAGGTTGAGAGTAAGATTTCATAAGAGAAATCATAGGAACTGAAGAGTGTTTTGAGAATCAAAACGTCTGGTTAATATTAAACAGTTGCACACTGTAAATCTTGGTCAGTACTATCATTTGTACTGTCTTGCATGCACACATAGTATTTTATTGTTGGTAGCCTGGCAAAATAGGTATTTCCTACTTCATATTTATATTGGGTATGATAGCCTATTTATTAATACTTACTGATTTTAATTAATAATGTTCTCCCGGTTATTAATAGTAGGATAAATCATGCTCTGTCATCTTAAAATCATTAGGAGCCTTTGATTGTGGAACCAGACAGACAATCTGCAACCTCTTTGTGCCAAGGAACATAGCACAGGGGATGAAAAAAATTCTATACCTGCTTTCTCAAAAAGAATTGGGGAGGGAGGAAGGGATAACCCAGGCAGAGCTTGCAACTTCCCAGCCTTTGAATTTTTCCCAGATGGCCAGGATTGCTAATCCTCTACCCTTTTAAATCACTGGAAAAGTTTCTCTACAATAGGAATAGGAGTTAACAATATGGGGTTAAATTATGAGACTTCTTTGGCTTCCTAGGAATTACTTCTATTGCAAACCGTGATTGGCCTCGTATGTTAAATCTCTAAGAAACACAGTCCTGTTGGCGAGAAAGCTTGGACTTCTACCTTTATATTCAAAGTGACTTTAAACATTTAGTTTTGACACTGGTTTTATGTTTAAGGGTTTTTTTTGGTTGTTGTTTCTAAGTAAGTCTTAATAGATATAAATACCATTATAAAGTATTAAGTATAGTATTAAGTTGTTTAAGTTTTGGAAAACTGAACAATAATTTCACAATTTATGACTGACAGAATTATTTAATCCTCTAGGCTTCTGAATTACAGCATATGTCTTCTGCCTCGTGGCATACGACACCCACCTTCTAGTGAAATTTTTCCTTCTGTGTCCAAAGATAAACATGGAACTGGAAGTGCTAGTATTCACGCTTGCAGTGCTGTGCTGGCTAAGGGTGGTATCTGTTACATAGGAGACTTATCTTCATATAAAAAGGATAAACTTGAACTTCTACAGTCCGGTAATCTCACACCTACTAACAAATGAGGGGACAAAACAAAACAAACATGCAAATTCATGGCTAGGTTTGTTCCCCAGCTTATGGCCCTCAAATGCTGGGAAGATCTATGAGCTATTTTTAACCAGTCTGTGTAAGAAACAAGGACAAAAAAAGCCAAGGTCCTGTAAGCTTACATTTGCTACAGAGGCTACACTAGAGAGATCCATTGATCGTGACAATTCAGTGAAATCCATAATCGTGACTGGTTTCAGATAGTGTGTGTGGGACTAGAATTTATAGTTAAACTAGATCGATTACATAACTGACATATTTTGTCCTGTCCTAGTGCTAGAGAGCAGAACGACAACAGTATTCATTCCTGGGAAGAAGTATGGAGAAGAGGCTGACCAACAAGTTACTATTTCAGTTCAGACCAATTTTTGGTCTTTTGTAGATGTGGATTCTTCCTCAAAGAAACATATACAAAAGGATAACTTTTTAATCGGACAGATGGTAAAGCATGTGCCTTGTTATGACTGTAACTGTACTACAGCAGTCATTTGTGTTTATGATTACTTCAACTTATAAAATAATGAAAACAATCAAATCTGTTAGTATTTCCCAAAAAGTCACAACTTAAGTGACTTCAAGTATCTTCTAAAATGAGCTGGCTTTCCCAAAATTAGGTATCATTTGTTTTATTCAGAATAGCTTTTGACAATTACTATTGAAACAAAGTTCTACTGTATGTATTATAGGTAATTCATTAGATAATCTTGCAGGACTACAATGTTTCTACAAGTCAAAAGGCCAAACTAATGTAATTGTTTTCTTTCTCTGGGTCTTCTCTTTAGGATGTGAGTTTGATTCCACCTAACCTTCTAGATGTTTTTGGGCTTTTGATATACAGGGAGTTTCCTTCATGTCGACCGTCTTCTCTTGTACATCATATCTTGAAAAAAGCCATTAATCCTGAAGCCATGCTGTACAAAGTCTCACAGCAGTTCAGAATGCAGGATTATGAGGAGGTAACAGACACTACCCAATAATTTAGAAATGCGTTATACCTGGGAATATCGTACTATCTCTGGAATCAGAAGGTTCTCTCTGCACAGTCCAATTGCTTATTTTTAAACCCATTAATACTCACTTCCTACCCTTCCCCCCACCATATTCCCACTAGCACTAATGGGATCATTGATAAAATTAGCTTCAGTTCTTTAAAAGGGCCAGCACAATAAATTCAGTTTGATCTTGCGTCTGAAAAACATACTAGGTTAACATTCATATGAGAACAGCTCTCCAATACCTGCTTTTGACCAGAATAGTTTACAATCAGTAGTAAAAGTTAATAATCCATTCTAAATAAACTGTCAATATCTCTAGTATAACTAACAGATGATTCTGTTTAGTATCCGAGATCTATCCTTATGCATAGCTGAATGGTGACAGCTGTCTTCATAAGAATATTGGTAGAATATATTGTCCAAACTATATTACTATGCCACTGGTATGTTAAAAGGTATGAAAAATGTAAATTCTTTATTTTCCAGTTAAATACTTAAAATGTATACCCTCTCTCTAGTTTATTTTGTTTGCTAAGAATCTTCATGTTGAACTGAGTTCAGAAGCAGAAAACCTCATTCAGGGCTACTATCTTGCAAGTCGCAGAGTAAGAAGAGATTCTATTCATGGATCAACATTATCAGCATCTGCACTAAAAATTCTGTATGTCCTACTTTTCATAGTAAAGGAAACACATCTACATTTTAAACAGAAATTGTGCTAACCTGCTCAAGATCTTGTTAAATGAAAATCTACACAAGACTCTAAGTTTTGAAAAGTTCAAGCGTGAATAATCTTATTTACCATTTATTTTATATATTGATGTTGAAAAAAAAAGTTTAAAGAACTTTTGCCAGGCAAAAGAACAGTGATTTAAGAAACAATTATCACTATTAAAGCTATCTAGAACAACAAAAAAAGGGATTTAAATTATCACGGTTTTGTATTATGCAAGCAAAAGAAGTATTAACAGTAGATAATATGCCAAGTTCCACTGCTGTCATAGCACGAGAAAGTCATACATAATAATATGTACTTTGCCAGTGACAAGTATAACTGCACAGTATTTGTGGGAAGTTTACACAGCTGAAGTATGGAAAAAAACCCACTCTAGTGTTAACTTTCGATTCACAGAATGCTCGAAACAGGGCAATACGTATTGCATTCATGTCTGCAGTATTTGTTATTTCTGACATGCTTATATTCATCTCTTAGGATTTCACTGTCTAAGGCTCATACTAAACTAAGTTTAAGAAAGAAAGTACTTGAGGAAGATGCGTTGATTGCCATCTTGTTACTTGAATCATCTCTTACCCTAAAACACGGTAAATAATGTAACTCAGTCTTAGTCTTGGGTACATTGTTTTCAATTTTGGCAGGTTGAAAAAAGTTTGTATCAATTTATTGCAATAATAGTTCATTTCAGATCAAAGTCCAGAATTTCCACTGTTGAAGACTGATACAAGAAAAGTCTTTCAGCTGACTTTCCTGCAAAGTCTCAGTGCCGTATGTAATTAGGCCACAGGCCAGCACCAAGCCTCCAATCCTTTATGCTGGCTTATATGAGGCATCGCTCCTCTAACATTGGTCCAGGTTAAACTACAGACAGATTTCCCTCCCTGGGGAAAGAGAAGACAAGAGTTGAGGGGGTTTTTCATTTATCTAGCAGCACAGTAACATTTGTTCACACACAAATTTGGCAGTGAGCCAAGAATTATGATGTAATGCTTAAAAAAGGTAACCTGTGAGATTGCATTACTAAGTAATCTGTCACAGCTTTTTTACCTTCAAAGTCCTGGCAAGAGTTTATCAAGTCTTCTAGCATAAGTCTTGTTTTCTTCTTTGCTTAGGCAAGTCTCCATTATGCATAGCACCAAATCCTGTATTTCCGTTTGACCTCAGTGATGAAAACTCCCTGCAACAGAGAGATAGTTACCTAATGCAGTGTCACCATCAACTGCTGAAGTTTATTGGTGCATATGGCCCAGGAATTCACACTAATGCTAACGAAGAGTGAAAACTCCATGCTGTGAGTAAAGCCTGAAGCTTCTACTTTAGCTTTTCAGAGACTGCAGTTAGAAACATACAAAAATATTAAAAACTTTTATCAGTTGTAAGACAGTTCAGTGCTGTTTTGCTAAGGAATAAAGCGTAGCTGACAAGATTCAATTACAAGTTTTGTGACAGTATTGTTTGAAGGCAGGAATGATGTCTTCATCCTGGGAGGCCATGGCTCCAGAATAAAGCCACAACCTGATCTTCTCTTCCTGGCTACCACTGTTCACCCACAGTTAAGCGACAGGAGTAAAGCAGGGTTTTTGCTAAGACTACAACTTACAACCAGGAGTTGAGAATCTAATGTTTCATTTCAACTACATGAACTCTCTGCAGTTTCTCTTGTTGCTTCTTTTCAGATGTATCACCCACTGAGGGGTAAATAGTTTTAAGTACATTAAAAACTCTTTTTCTAGTCTAAGCCAACTTTCTTAAATTATTTCTCATGTTCTAAAAGGTATAAAAGTATCACCATACTGTTCTATGTCTTAGTTTTACATCACAGCAACATAATATTAGACCAGGATGCTAGTATGCTCCTGCAATCTGAAAAAAACCCTAGTATTTCCACGTTACTTTATGTAGACTGCAGGGGATAGTAGAACCCTACAGAAGGTGAAAAAAATGCTATTAGACGACCTGGTAGGTAGGCAGCTCAGTGAGTTCAACTCTACCTCACTGCAAAAACAAGTGTAAAGAGTGGTGTGGTAGAAGATGAGGTGTCTGAGCTCCAGTATGCTTCTCCAACTGCGGACTTCCCTGTATTTCATCTTCCTAGTAAGGATGCTCAGTATCATGTCTACTGCTGTAAGTTCTACATCCAAGAGGCCCACGTTAAAAAAAAAAACAGCAGAAAAATTGTACAGGCTTCCTGTCAAATCTGGACAAGCTGAATACCGAAGGCATGTGGGACTCCTACCCAGGATGTCATCCAGCAGGATCATGGTGCTATTGCTCACATAGCCTCAACAACAAACTACAGGCACTGAAAACAGAAATCCAAGACTTTATTCATACAGGCGTTGCCTTGGAGATAAGCAGAAAAGCTGCCACCACTAACACTGTAAACACTCCCACTTAGACAAGATAACACAAGTTTTCCTACATGTTTTAACCCTTGATTTATTCAGTTTTGTCCCATTTATTTGGTACACTTAAATATTCATACTAAGTTCTAAGCGCATCCACAGAGCCACTTCCCTTTCTAGAGTGGCACTCACCTGAACGTCATTCGAGGATTATTCACACATTTTCACAAAACAGCTACTCCTCTGCCTTACTATTGAATCAAACAGTACTTCTGAGGAGCAGGAAAGGCCATGAAAGCATTTCCAAGCGCATTAGAACTCCACATTTCAGGCTGCTGTTTTCAAGCTTAAAAAACAAGTTTCAAGATAAGTTAGTTTTCTGTATGCTTAATCAATTTTATACAAAGTTATTAACTTTACTGGCATTTCAGATTCAAAGATACACATCAAAAACCAGTCAGATGGGTAAACGGCAAAGATTTCATCACTATGCCAGCAAAATTACTTCTAGAATAGACTTAAATAGAATTCCTTTATAAATCACTATTTTTGACAAGCCATATTAAGGAATGTATAGCCTTAGGAAAAAAAATTCCGCAAAAAGAGCACAACTTTTTATCCTTACCTCTCCCCAGCTTCTCCTGTGATGTTTTAAGCAAAAATTAGAAGACTAGTAGCAGTACCACAAGTAAAGGACAGCATAGTCAGTCAGTAGTCCAGAAGTGCCCTTGCCCAACAGGCCATGCCTTCAGCTGATGTAAGCCAGCACAGCTGCAGACAGCAGCAAACGCGGCCAGTACAGGCCTTCGCCAGCTAGCAGTGTAGCTTATCGGAGCCCGAGTACTCTAGTAGCATGGTAGAAAAGCAACTTACCTTCTTAAACGCCCATGCTTCTAGAAGTGGATGGAGTCTACTGTTGGCTGTGTGCGCATACACAAGGCTCGAAGACAGAGGAGAAAGTCATCCGATGTCATAGCGCCTTTAAAAGAATAAATGAAATCAGAAGTGACAGTAGCAAATCAAACTGGAAGAATCCTACTGATTAGCTGGCACATCAGATACAACACTGCTCATCACAAAATTCAGTTGGGTAAACGGCAAAGAGTCATCATCATTATGCCAGCAAGCAGTTTCCTGCCTGTGAGAAGACTGGTGTAATTTTTTTTTCCAGGTATCAAGCACAAGGGGATTTGTTAAGTTTGTCTCAAGAGACGCGCTTCTATAAATTAAAGCAGAACCTTGGTCTTAACTGTTAAGCACAGAATGCCTTCAGTATAGCCAGGAACAAGAAGAAAAAAAGCTCTCTTTGGGTACAAAAATGCAGGCCCCGCCCTGTCGTTACATTCAAGCCCCAGATGCCAAGGCATCTTCCTAGAGGTAAAGCTCACTGCCACAGTCGCCCTTCCCTTTGGAATATATCCCAACAGACTGATACGGTTAAGTGCCAGCAGATGGTGATTTGAGCACACCGTTCTTCACTTTTGTCTCTCGCTTCCAACTAGCATCAGTTGATTCTTCAAAGCAGAAGTCTTTGTTTCTCTCCCCAGTTAAGAGCTAGATGCTCCGATACTATTACAAACCTCTCCCCTCTGATTCCTTCAGGATTCTTGGATTGCACCTGCTTTGTTCTGGGGAGCAAGTCTTAGAGGCTTTATAGCTGTCATAGCCGTCATAACACCTTTTGTTAGAATTTCAACCTCTTAACCCTACATGCAAGCTATCATATTCCTCCTTGTTCCATCTGTAAGAGAATTTACAAGCCATAAAACAGCTTCAGAAATCCAGATCTATTTCAGGAGGCTTTCCTCAGCATTCTTAAGTACGGTAGGAAGTAATTACTTCTGTAGCGCCGGGATTCATGTGACACCTTTCTGCTTGCAAGGTAACAGCGTGGCAGAGTCCAGGTTGAAGATTCCCAAAGCTGGTAACAAACTCATCTCTTCACTTCACTTGCTGCCTAAAACAATGACAAGAGAGAAAAGATGTCTGATTCGGAGAACTCCGCTGCCGAGCCGTTAGCGGAAAGCACCCACACTTCCTTGGGGAAAGGAAGCCAGTCAAAGAAATACCAACCTACCGAGCAACCCAATTGCTGGCTTTACCATTACACCTGGGGAAAGAGCTACAGCCAGCGTCAGCCGAGATCGGGGTTGAAGAGAGGCATGACCATTTCACCTAAAGCAAGCTCCAGCACGAGGAATGACTGATTGCAGGGCTATTATGCTGCTCCTAACGAACAGCCGTCGCTGGGGAGAGGAGTACCCCACCAGGGTACAGCCTTTAACCCTGGTTCACGTGCCGCACTCAGGGGAACTTAGTGACATGTTTCCCTGTCGGTTGAATTAAGGTCAGCACTCGTGCTGCGGTCCTGGCAGGAGAGCGTTACCGCAGAGACTGCCGAGACCCCTGGGGTCCTGTCCCTGCCAGAACCCACCACTTTGGATCCATGCCTACAAGCCAAGAAGGGCATCGTCAGGGTCACCATACAACACTTGCCAAATTCCCCAAAGGGGAAAAAAGGTAATTTATCTTTAGAATTAGGACATGAATTTGCCAATGAAAATGATTTATCAGCAAAACCAAGTCTCTTTGCATGTCCCATCTGTCATTCCTTTGAAGACTTGATGAACCAAGGGATAACTCAAAGTAACCACCACAGCGGCACGTACTAATTAGGTCCATCCTAGCCTCACAAGGCATACCATACGCACGTTCACGTCCCTGGAAAGCCTGCGTGGCTGGCGAGTGTCAGCCGGAACTAAACAACCCCCGCAGGCGGACAAAGCCAACTGTTAGTACACCGCCACTACGCTTGGCAACCGGAACCAAGATACAGTTAGAACAGTGTGACAATCACTCATCTTTCAAGCGATGGCCTACGCTGTTTAGAAGATAGTGCCAGCAATCCATCCCTTCAATTCTTGGTATTACGTTGTTTTTAATTGCCAGAGTGGGATTTCTTACATTAAACAGTAGGGGACGTTTCCAATTCCTCCGGATTAGAAGAAATCGCTCTACTGTTTAACGAGCACGTGCTTGGACCGATGAGCTGAGGAGCCGCCTCAAGGAG